GTCAGCACAGACCCTCCCCTAGCCCCGCTGCCCGCAGCCACGAGGAAACCGATACCTTAGAGCCAACAGAGCCCCTAATAGGCCATGACCGCTACCCCGGGTTGAGCCCCCCAAGGAGGATGCTCCTGGGGAACCCCCCCGATGCCCTAAGCCTGTCCCTACCCACACACCAATCACAACAGCGAAGGTGGGACCAAACTATGACCCCCCACCCCCACTAGGTGATGGAGCTAATCAAAGGAGCCCAGAGCAATTGATCTGATGTGGTGGCAGAGGCTGTATCGAGACTAATGTAATCTAATAGATAATTCCTATATTGGTTAGAATTAAGATTATTTTTATTTTTCCAGTTCATGAGGACTGTTTTCTTTGCTATGCATAGGGCAGTGAAAACCATATGGGCTATATTCTTATCTGTAGTGACATTATCTAAGCTGCCCAACAAACACACTAAAGGGGAAGTTGGAATGTTCTTCAGGCCTTTTTTTGTCAAATGTTAAACAAAATAATTGCAATGAGACATTGACAGTGAAGCTCCAGTGGGCCAATAAAAATTGCACTGTGCTGTGCAAGCAAAGGGATTACCCTTTTACCTCTTTGATAGCATGCTTACGACTAGGTTCAGACATTTAACAGTCATCCGGTGCCAATTTATTCTTGATTTATTCCTAATTTTTGATTCAATGAATTCCATGTGTTCAATGCATGAAGGCTTCTTTACCCTTTGCTCAGCTCTCACACACCCTGTCGTCAATTTTCTTAATCATTTATTTTGTAACATGCTAACACAGAGATTACCTTTTACCATCACACCAAAAGCTACTTTCAGTGAACTACAGCTCTTTGGATAGATTCAAACCTAAAACCTTAATGTGAGGCAACTAATGTAACACTGTGATGCCTAGCTGTTTGTTTCTTTGGTTAACTAATGTAAGTAGTTAAAATACACTGTCAAGATTTAATGTTAGTTCATCTTCTAATGTCTCCTAGTTTAGTTCATGGGGAATGACTGTAGATTACACTTACCTAGCACCCAAGCACTTTTAAATATGCACCTACAGACACATTTTTAACACTCACATGCAATCCAGAATGGATGGGTAAGGATATACCAATCCATTCTCTATCTTATTCAATCCCGAGGCACTATAAACAACATGATTTTTGGTGGTAGTAGGTAGGGCTGTGCGATATGAGCAAAATCTCATATCCCGATATAAAACCTCTATCGTCCTGATAATGATATAAATCACAAAAATGTAACATTTTCTGTAAATTCTGTGAATCTCGGGCAGCTCGACTTGTGGGAAGTGTTTCCAGCTGCGCGTCATGTAGCTGGAGTCGAGTGTTTTAACCGATGCATGAAACTATACATTTTTAGACATAAGTTGTAACGGCCGCCGTTTTCTTTGTGAGTATTTATTACACGGCGTGCTGCAGGGAAAAGCCTGTTCTAACGTTTGAGTCTAAGGTTGATTTTTTAGCACATGGCGGATCTTTTTTGCTTCTCATCCGTAAATAATTTGCTCTTTCACGTGATTCAGTTTATTTTGAAAAGTCTCAACAGGATCTTGAGCTTTATTGTGAAAGGTTTATGTGGAACATAAACAAGCGGACACGCATGCTGTTACCGTCGTTTTTGCTAACCACAACCCATAAAAACAGGCGCTTCTCCGTCCGTAGTGTGTTTATATTAAATATAAGAGAAAGAGAGAACTTTAAGAAATGAATATAGCCACTACAGTGACCATCAAAACGATGAAAAATATATTGCCGTAAACAGTTTATTTTGCGACACCACGAAACAAATGATAGCGTAAAATGAAACGACAGACGTTTTTTATATCGTCATCCGATATATATCGATATATCGAACAGCCCTAGTAGTAGGTGAGAATTGAGTAACCAGTGAGGAGTGTAAAGGTCCATGCAGGAGATGTTTATTACTACACCCATATTTGCAAATTAAAAAAAACAAAACAAAACAAAAAAACAATTCTGAGTAATTTCAGCCTTCTATAGTTGACTTTTATGTGTTCAGTCGTGTATGATTTGACATCAAGATCATTCTGTCATGGCCGTGTGCAGGCAGACGGAGAGAAAGGACCCAAAATGCAGGACTCGAAGGCAGACATAAACTCAAAAAAAATCAGCTTTATTGCTGATAGCAACAGAACAGGAACCTCACTAAACTGGGAATACAAAAACCGAACTAGGCAGGCAGGCAAGCAGACAGAACACACAGTTAACATGAGAGTAGAAGCCGTTAACGACGCGACACTGACACAAAGACACACTGGGCTTAAATACACTGAGGGAGTCATCAAGGAATTAGAGACAGAAGGGGAACACAGCTGGGAGGAATAAGGCCTAACGAGACAGGGAGAGCAAATCTGGAACACTGACAGACAGGAACAAGAACCTTCAAAGTAAAACAGGAAGCAAAACACACTTTACTAAGACACGGACTAGACAGAGAGAGACAGACTTGACACTGACCAAAACCTACTAAATAATAATCATAATCAAAACAGTATCACTGATTAATCAAATCATAAATCATAATTTAGAAAAACACCAAAACATGAGAAACAGAAAGCTGGGTCAACATGACCCCGAACCGTGACACATTCTTGGATTTCTAGTTTACTTTGGAAAACTATTATGTTTTCTTGCCTTTTTTGACAGCTAACATGAAATTGTCTACCATCTTGAGTTTTCAAATAACCAATGGGCTTCATCAAAAAAGCACTTATAGGAATCTGTGTACCAGTTTTTGGATATTTTGATGTTTATCTCCACCTGTGAATAATTTCCTTGTCCTGTTAAACGTGTCAGCTGCATTGTAATGATAAATCTTTCTATAATGAGCGTAGCATATTATAAATCCTAATTCTTTTGATTTCCATGTATATATTATATTCATTGCATCACCACCCTGCAAATGTGATGTTACCTCCTCCGTTTGCGTGTGTTTGATTTATGACGTTCAGTGTACGTTACAGAACATAGGAGTCACCAAGAATTTTATCTGCAACAAAATTTTGTTTAACCCACTACTTAATACAGAAGGAAACATTTTTGCGCTTTCGAAAAAGAAAAATGTCAGCCCTGTAAATGTTTTGTGGGTAAAAAAAATAATTGAAGACATTCATTCTGTCTCAAGAATACAAATCATTTTGGCAAGTAATATAAATATAATTTAGTTTTTTGTGTTTTAGAAGAAACCTCAAAGAACTGAGTACATTTTTAATCAAGTAAAAATAAATCTACTGCACATAGATTCCTTCTTTCTATAATCACTGACAATAATTTTTTTCTAGAAAGATTAAGTAAACACCAGTCGAAATCATCTCAGCCACCTGTTCCTGTCTTATCTACCTGTCCGATTACCTGACAGGTAGAACAGATGGTAAAGCGCTTGCGTATTTTAGTCCCGCCCACAGAGCTTAATAACTCAATTAACCCTCGCTATCATTTTGGTATTCACATTGGCTCAGGTATCAGCCACTGGCAGTGACTCCCAACACAGGCTCATATCCAATTTGTGTCCTCTGCCCTCCAAAGATAAAGGAACGAATCCATCGTCTCTTCGTGATCTGGGTATTGACAGAGCAGTGAGTGGGTGTGACTGGCTCTGAGCAGCCAGAATGCTTATCACATTGGTTTCATGCTCCCATCTCTGTGTGGGGTAAATCAGAGGGGGAAGAATGAAGGAAAAAGAAGAGAGTCACAGAGACAAACTGGGAGGCGGAAAGAGAGGGGGGATATCGGAGACTTGGGAGAGTAAATGAAGAAGTGAGCCTCGCAGATTGAGTTTAAATTATGCTGTTTAGCAGCCTCGCTCTCAGCTGCTTCTCATTTTCTGGTGAATTAGAGGACTGATGGGGCTGATATGGCACCACATTTTAGTTGGACCTGAAGGTTTTCAACTCTTATTAGGTTTTGGTTGAACACAAGCAGCCTTTTAATAATTATTTCCTTTTACACGATCAATAAATTGGTGACCCACTCAATCAATCGCATTAAATGTACAGGAAACTGCAGATTTTCAAGTCAAATTTTTATGATGTCAACAACTTTGATCTAATGTTCTCGGTAGGTGTACTACATCTCCAAAGCTACACTCAAGCCGGCCAACAAACAGTACACCACGCTGAAGAACGACTACGAGATGACCCTCCACGCTCACTCATCCATCGTGCCATGTGATGACAATCAGAGCATCCCCACAGTGCACTGTGACTTTGTGCCCATCGCAGAGCTGGAAAATCGAGACAAAGATGCTATCATTGGTAGGAGACAACATTCATCACACTTTATTTATACATTTCTCCAATTTAACAGATAAAAGAAAAACTTAACAGTGAGTGAGCAGGTAGAGCTTCAGTGTCAAGGATGGTTAGAAAAAAGGCAAAAGCAGGAGACGTGACTACTTGCTTCTTTTTCTTTTTTTTAAGCCTCACAAAACCAAACTGCATCTGACAAGCTCGGTTTTTGCAATCACAGCTCAGAAACATTACTAATGAACTCATCCAGATGGGAATTTGTCACACCAATCGGCAGACTGCAGTGAGCGTTCTGATGATGACCTGACTCACAGACTCTTCAAACTTTGTGGAACAACTGCTTAAACAGAGCGTTAAAGCTAGAAACTTTAGTGTGATTCAGCAACTGTGTTGTGCGTGTGTATGTTTTACAAATCAGAAGCCAAAACAAAAAACATACCAGTGACTGTTGTGTGAGTCAATCCAGGCAAAGAATACAACACATTTCTCAACCATGAAAGAATATTTTTATATATTTTTACCTAAAACAAAATTTTAGGTAATTTTTTTTCTCTGTGATGTTATCTTGTACACCACATTCGATTGACTCCATTAACAGGAAAACCTTATGAATATTACTCATTTAATTAGGATTCATTTTTTGTCTTTAAAATCAAAAATCATTTAGATAAAGGCTTTATGACTCTGGTTCAGTTAGTGTTTTTTTGCCCATGGAGTATCATACTATCTGATTGCAATTTAAACTGGTCTGGCCCAGCCATTTTGTTTATACTTTTAATTTGAAAGAGAAATTGCTGTATGTCACAAGTGAATTTAAATTGCTTGTGAAATTAGAATGGTTTATGGTTTTTAGAAATGGGCTGTTGTTGACATGACAAGACATGATTTTCTGCTTCTACTGTTTAGGCAATTAGGCCATAGGTGTAGATGCTACAAAAAACGAATCTATTTGACAGGCACGGTCGTGTCAGTTGTAAGCCAGATTTTCTGGGAAAATTTGTTACGGCAGGATCAAAATCAAGGTTAATTCAGGCATACTGTAAGAGAAGTCATAGGAAGACGATTACGTTTATTCTGCTGTTTTTATTAAGTTTTGTTGTGGCTCCTGGACACAATGTGCGTGACATTTAAGTTTTATCTTCATGGCAGATAAATTGGGATGATCCAAATGAAGATTAGGTTTGAGAGACAGTAATTTGGTAGTGTTGTCCTTTTTATTAGTGTCACGATGTACAGGTATGAGTGACATTTTTATAGTTAGGGTACCGGTAATAGAGATAAAAAAAAAAAAACTTTTTCTAGGCGGTATGCACGCTACATCCTGCAGTTTTAGAGCTCTGCATCTCCACCCATAAAGGGAGGAAAAAAAAAAAAATATATATATATATATATACACAAATATACTGTTTTCCAGGCTTTATTTTCTCTGAATGCCCTCTAGACTAATAACTATAAAAAAAAACAATGCATAACATTTGTTTAATCTGTGACTTGTACAACGAGACTGAGCTCTGAATGTGAAAGCGTCACAGAAGTTGATGTTTATAGTCTGCACAAGTACAAACAAGGGCCTTCAGTTAACAATAAAACAAAATAGCAGTCAGACTGGAAGGAGTCCAGAAATGTGCAAGGACACTACCTTGAAGGGGAGATTTGTCAAATTTAAATCAGTTTTCTCTTTTGATTTTTATTGGCCTGACTTCACTTTAGTTTGTGATTTTTGATGTAATTCTCACAGGAATATGTTGTTTTTGTTGCTTAGTTGTTCTTTATTTATTCCAATACATTTTTTGTGCAAGCTAAAAACAAACAGCTTTTTAAAACAAGATTAAAGAGGAATTTTACACTAAATCCTGTTTGGATGAAACCTATTCTGCTGGCGTCTGTGGGTTGAAAAGTTCAGGTCTGTTGCGTTTGTCTTATGCTAGAGCTGTGCGCTGTGTGAGATTTGATTTTTGCATTGCACAGTAATCCAGTGTTGTAGCGTCATGGGCTAACAGAGCAAGTAAGACAACTGATAGCACAGAAGCAGGCATGTTGAATCTTTTAAGTGCTGGACACACTATAAAAGAAATTAATGGTCAGAAAGAAATATAAGGAACTGGCTGTACCCTACCAATTGAAAGCTCCATGTAGGTTTACATCCTGAACAGTTATATTACATGGTTACATTATTGCAAACTACCAGCACAGCACCACACTAAAGAGTTTAGAGATGCACTGAGCAGTTTAGCTGTAGGAGTGTGTTTGCGTTGGTCACAGAGGGGCAGTGTTACATGTCCTGTGTGTCATCTGTTGACTCTCTGTTCGCTCTCTCCCTCGACTGCCTCTCACTCTACTCCTTTGTTAAATAGGGGATTATAACATGGTAATGAGAACTGTCAGCCTGTTCCTGTGGTGATAATGGAGTTCAGAGGTGGATGACGTCTCAATCATAATGGAATTAAGGAGGGCTGAGAGAGCACTGACAGAAATACCGGGAGGATGGGTAGGAAGGGGAGAGTTTAGAAAAAGGCTAGCAGAGAAGGCAGAAAGGCCAGATGAGTGATCTGAAAAAAGGTGTTGTTATTCAGTGTAGTTATTTTGTTAAATACATGAACACAAATGTGTAAATCCTCAGGACACCATGAAACGTGCTACAGACACACCCCCCCCCCCCATTTATAAATAATGTTATAAACATCATTTATCTCAAGTGAAATGGCAACAGTCACCCGCAATGAGGCTTTTCAGAGATGGCAATATTCAAAATAGTAATAGTTAAATAGTAAAAACAGTATTTGTAACAGTATTTTGTACCAAAACTCATTTCTTCTCTTTCAGTAATGGTTAATCCACCTTTATGCACAAACGTTTTAATTCAAATGTTGTTTTTAATACTAAAATATAATTATTGTTGTTATCTGTGCATTTTCACATTTGCTTTTTTATAAAAAACAAAAAAACCCATTGTAAACATGATTATTTTTTGATTAAAAAATAGTTTAAATGGATGGATGTCATACTTGATTAATTTCTGACTTGTCTAGATTTTGGTATAAAACATTTATTTAGTTTGTTATTTGCTTAATGAATAAATATTTGTGTTTTCTTATGACAGGTAGTCAACGCCTGTCTGATACCTATAATCACCCATCAGAGATATGATGTAAATGTCTGATCTTGTTAATATGACAGCTTGCTGTTTTTACAGAATTTAATGCATGGAAAAGATATTTGGGGTAATTTATCAGTGGTGTCACTACATAGCAGCATTTTTATAATACTACAGTACTGTTTGCAGCACATGTAGCAGACTACACACCTCAGCAGATGCTGGTACCAAGCAGTTTCTTCACAGTGAGACGATAATTACTTTATGAAATACACTGCTGGAGACAATGACCGCAAAACACAAAATAGTACCTGATTTACATGTTGATGAGAGCTGGGTTTTGACCCAGAAGCCAAACAGCTTTATTAGCCACAACCAGAAAATGGTACACTTCAGGTACAGGTACTTCAGATTTAACTTCAGGTGTATTAGCAGGAGTATTTTTGTGCACTACCAGTTTGTCCTCCATGGTTAGACTATCAGTGCACAATTCTGTCATTTTCTGATGTATCTGAGGGAACAAATGATCTATCTGAATGCCACGGTGAATGCCATCATGTGGCTGTTTACAGCACTTTGAAACAGACAGCTTACAGGGAGTGATCCAGTTATAGCAGGAGGAAATTGTGATGAGCTTCTTAAGAAGACTACCTAGATGGAGAAATCTGCCATATTCAGTCATGTTTTCTTTATGCTTTTTATGGGTGGAGTCATGCCATTTTGATTCCACCTTGTAAAGGAACAAAGCAATTGTTGACTCAAGTCGAACTGAAATCTGTATTTGAATATTTTGTTTTTATCATTTTTTCTTTATTATCTTAGAGCTCCTCATTGCTCCTCAGTGCAGTAATCCTGAATGAAGTGTTTAGGCCTTGACATGACAAGAAACTTGAAAGAGGGATGAGTGTGTTTGTTGTCATTTGGAAAGTGGTGCTGGGTGTTAGCCAGCCTGGTATGACATTTATGTCACTCTGCTGTAACTTGGCAATATCAGAGGGGTGTCAGCTCTGTGCTCTGTTGGGCCTTTACTGCTTATGATGTGATAACACTTCACATTATGTAGAGTATATCCAGGGGGCATTTTTAAATTCTACACTGTGTAGAGACATCTCAGGAGGTGCTCTTCACATAACGCTCTTTTTCATGCCCAACTGTAAGGATATTGTCTTCCTGTTATCAAGAGATGGAGTTGTAAAATGATTTTCTCTACCTCTAGATGTGATTGGAATATGTAAGAGTGCTGAGGATGTATCCCGTATCACCACTAAGAACAGCAGAGAAGTCTCCAAGAGGGCTCTCAGCATAATCGACGAAACAGGCAAAGTCGTGACAGTCACACTGTGGGGCGAAGAGGTAATTACTGTAATCTCTCTCTCACTCTCTGTCTTTTTGTATCCATGGATTGATTTCCAATTTGACATTAAAAAGTGTTGAGCACTCTTTAATTGAACGTGTTTATGTAGTTGCCCATGTATGTGTGTGTGCATACAGCCATGCATGTGTAGTCACACATCTCTCTTTGGGTGCTCTCGAGTACAAAAACACTCTGATTAGGTTTTCTGGGCTGTAAAATTTGGATCGGTCAAATCATTCCTGTGACCTTCAGTGATTTTTTGGACGAGAGTCTCCTATTTGAGACAGAAGGCTAAATAACTCTCGAATGTGCATGAAATAGCACTATTCTTCTCTAAGCTCATTCGATCTGCAAGAGCTAATCCCCTCCTTTTTGCAGAAATCCAAAAATGACTTTCAAATTAACTTGTAGGTTGTCCAATTATGAAAGCACACCATACCAAATATTACTTTCTGGTGTCTTCAAGCTGCAGACACAGACTAAACAAGTAAGAGACAATAACACAACTGCTTTTGCAGCCTCGCATTCTGTCTCCTGAATTACTTTCTTAGACACTTTTCTTCTTCTTTTTTTTTCTTTCTCCAGGCAGAAAATTTTGATGGCTCTACACAGCCAGTGGTTGCCATCAAAGGAGCTCGATTGTCTGATTTTGGGGGAAGATCTCTCTCTGCATTGTTCAGTTCAACAGTCATGGTCAACCCAGATATACCACAGGCCTTTAGACTGAGAGCCTGGTGAGTCACTCTGATGTGCAGCAATACACCAACAATTATACACTTGCACCGATAATCACATCAAGAAGTTCTTTGTAAAAAAAAAATACCCTACTGCATTGCTCATACAAATGAAATGAAGTATGGTAAATTCCACCAGGCGTCTCACACATGAATATAAATGCAAAGCCCCAGTGATTACTTGGCTGGAGACTGGTGGCATGTGCCCCCTCAGTCCCAGCAGGACTCGAGACAGGATGTAGACAGAAGGGCGGAAGGAGGGAGCACCACAGAAACAAAGCACAAGTATTTGTGTTTTCCAGCTCCTAACTGCTTTTGTACTTCCTCACAAAGATGGGAACGTGGTGAGCAGCATCAAACTGGATTCTTATTAGCAGCTCCTGTGGAGGGATTTTGAATTATGACTCATTCACTCATTAAGGCTGTTCCCAAGTCTGGACACTGTTGAAACAAAAATGCTTTTTCCCTTTTTCTCCCTCTGTGTGTGTGTGTGTGTGTGTTTGTGTGTACATAACAATCCTTCTGTGTGCATATGATTTCCTGTGTGCTACTCTTGAAATCTATTCGTAGGTACTAAATTGCGTCAAACAGCACTCATACCTTCAAAGTGTAAATACAGTAATTTCAGGCGTGTTCCCGAAGGCATGGTTCTGTTCACACTTTTAAATTGTTAATGACTGCATTATGAATTCTGCTAATTGTTCCATGATTGATCATTTTGGCCACTTTTACGGGTACGTTATATTAGTTATGCCAGTTACTTATGTGTGCAGGAGAAAGTGAAGGGGTAGGCTGCATTGATCTAGCTTTAATCTTGGTCTTATTGGTCTCTGGTGTTGATATTTAAAGGGCTAAATAAGTAAAAGAACAGCACCCTCCTTCCTTTCATCACTCCTTCCATTCTCCTCTAATCCGCAGCTTTTCCTCTCGATCTCAGCTGCTGTTTGGTGCTTATTCAAGTTTACATGCTGGCAGCAGTCAATGAATGACAATGAAGTTAGTCAAGTACCAGACAGTTATCCACTTCTTTTTTTATATTTAGGTCTGTGCTTTAGAAAGACAAAGGAGGTCTGTCTGACTCTACTTCCTGTGGCGATGCAGTGCTATGTGGGATTGTTTGGACCAGACTTCTTTGCATAATTCAAGGAAGCTGATGAATTTGGATGATGAGTTGATTAGATTGCACTGCTTAGTTAGACTGCTGAGCAGGAGTCACACTGATCCATGAAGATTTTAGATGGTATATTAAAAAGGTAGATAAATTAATAAAAGGCATGCATAGACAATATTATGCATAGGTTTTATTTATTTGTATTTTTCACTTGGTGATGAACTGTGTATGTGGATGCTAATGTATGCAGAGAAAAAATGATAAATGGTCTGTTAATGCATTTGGCAGCCATATGTCAGATCATATATTTTGCAGGATGTTGTGTCTGGAAATCAGTTACAAGAGCGATTCAGACATGTCTGAAGATGCTTATTTGGATTATAATTGATACAGTGCAGTTAGTGATTGAGTTTAGTTACTCCTCAAGAAAATGCCATAGAACAAACATGTAAAAAAATATACACACATTTGCTTTGACACTTTCTTTTTCACAAATAGATACACTGCTGAACATATTCAGGTCCAGTGTTTATGGAACATCTAGTGTAGTTTAATATTTTCAGTATCCAGGGATCTTTACTTGTGTCCTCAAGCATACGGTGTGCTTTCTTTTGACTTATCAAATCCGTATTTCTTTTCCCTGCTCTCTGTATAATGTGCATGACAATTTAAAAAGAATATACCAATGTGTTTTGGTTCATAGGCATGCCTGGACATACACCCATCAGGCATAACATTATGACCACCTGTTTAATATTGTGTTGGGACCCTTTTTGCTGCCATATAGCCCTGACTTGTCATGGATTCCACTGGATCCGTGAAGGTATGCTGTGGTATCTGGACCAAGATATTAGCCTCCATGGATCAGGCTTGTTTGTCCAGCACATCCCACAAATGCTTGATTGGATTGAGGGCTTTGAAATTTTGAGACCAAGTAAATACCTCATGCACCATTCCTGAACCATTTTCGCTTTGTGGCAGGGTGCAATGTCCTGCGGAAAGAGACCTCAAGGAATGCCATTTCACTGAAAGGGTGTACATGGTCTGCAACAGTGTCTAGGTAGCTGCTACATGTAAAAGTAACATCCACATGGATGGATCCAAGGTTTCCCAGCAGAACATTGCCCAAAGCATCACCCTGCCACTGCCGACTCGCCTTATTCTCATAGTGCATCCTGGTGCCAGGTGTTTTGTGGGTAATCAATGCACACAAAGTTGGCCATCCACATGTTGTGAAAGAAAATGTGACTCATCAGACCAGGCCATCTTCTTCCATTGCTCTCTGCTCCAGTTCTGATCCTCACTTTCAGTGGTGAAGAGGGGCCCTAATCACCCTAACTGTTTTGCAGCTATACAGCCCCGTACACAAGAAACTGTGATGCACTGTGTATTCGGACACTTTTTAATCAGAAATTCGCATAAACGTTTTCGGCAATTTGAGCTACAGTAGCTCATTCGTTCGCTCTCCACATGCATTAGTGAACCTTTGCCGTTAATGACCCTGTCACTGGTTCACCAGTGTTCCTTCCTTGGGCTGCTATTAATAGATTGTGACTGTGAACACCCCGCTGACCCAGTCATCGAGCCATCATAATTTGGCCCTCATCAAACTCACTGAAATCCTTAAACATGTCCATTTATCCTGCTTCTAACGCATCAACTTTGAGGACAAAATATTCAATCGCTCCCTAATATATCCAGCCCACTAACAGACGCCATGATGAAGAGAGAATCAGTATTATTCACTTCACCTGTCAGTGCTTATAATGCTATGCCTAATCGACGCATATTTATTCATGTACGTGTCATCTCCATAGGTATGACCGGGAAGGCTTTGCAGTCAACAGCCAGTCGCTGACAGAGACCAGGTCAGCAGGCACAGGATTAAACATGAACTGGAAAACACTGAGCGACATTAAGAATGAAGACATGGGCCATGGAGAGAAGGTGACATCAACACATGCAAACATACTTAAATACACATTGCATTACCTTATTTCCAAAGACATTATCATTACATGCATTTAGATTTAAAAGGGAAATAAAATAAAGATCACTGAAGGTTTACTTTACCCAAATAGCAGCCAATATCAGAATAAATTTCAGGAATGGGGTGGACGAGACTAAAGTAAGATCCATGGACGCCATTAAAATGTTCTTTGCAGTTAGGATTAGGTGACTTTGTTTTACAGTCTTTGATTGTTTTATGTTTTGTTAACTGTTTTATGAACCACAAGCAGCTATAGTGCTTGCTACATTGAATGCACAGTGTGAGATCTGCAGTGAATCTGATCAAAATTAAACCACAAGGTGTTAAACAGCAAAAGGGTAAATCTTGTTGTTTGTGTTGCAGTTTTAGTTTGATTTCTGAGTCAGTTCTTTATGAAAATCTTGGTAGAAAGCAGATTGATATGTGAGTCAGAAAATCCTTCTCTCACTCAGGCAGCTGGCTACTGTTTGAAGAGGAATGAAAGAGACCCTGTGCAGATGATGTAACATCAGCATAGCTACAGTACAGCCAAGGTTGATAACAGAAAATCATTCCGGCGTTGTAAGACAAGCACTGTAAACATTGAGTTTTGGCACCAGCCCCAAAAAATCAAAGAGTTAAAGCTTTAATGCTTTGAAAGTTTCCAGTCACACAGGGACAAATCCATCATGTTGACGGACTTTGACGTCAGGAGTGTAATGCTGTTTTTAAATTTTTTATTTCTTAACTTTAACTTGCTTGCTCTTGTTACCTTCACAGTGTGGATTGGGCTTTCTTGAATTACGTATACAGTAGGGGTGCAACAATACTCATATCGATATTGAACCGTTCGATACAGTGCTTTCGGTTCGGTACGCATATGTATCGAACAACACAAAATTTTTTATTTATTTTATCAACTTTTCTTCTGACGATGCTGTCTGTGTTGAGCGCTCAGTGGATCTGCGTTCGACTACTTCGCCTAGGCTGCACTGTCGAGTGCGGATCCACTGAGCGCAGCGCAAGCTAGCAAGACAGAAGCTAAGCTCGTTGCAACATGGCAACTGCCTCAACGCTACCCGAAATTGAACCTCCCCCACCAGATCTGGCGTTTGGTACTATCTTGGTTTTCATGTGAAGCATGACCCTGAAGGTAAGTGTGTCATGGACAAAAGTAAAACAGTATGTCGGATGTGCCACGCAATGCTCAATTTGTGAGAACTAGTGCGTTAGCACAGTTAGCTTGCTAACGCTGACAGCACTAGTGGGAACACAACGAATATGACTGCACATTTACGCCGACATCATCCTAGTGCAAAGACAAGTGGAAGCAGACAAAAACAACAAGCACGCACGCTACAAACTTTACCCGAGTCATTTAGACGCCCGTTAGCACATGATTCTCCTTATGGGGACCTGATATGTTTAATATGCTGCTGAGAATATAGCCCAGAAGAAGCGTATAGTATAGCTTTTATTTTGGAAAGAGCCATTTCTCTGTAATAAACTCTCTTTTCCAAAGATGAGTGATTTCTCGATCAGATAGATTTTTTT